CAGCCCCTTTCTGTCCGTGCACAGGTTTATGAGTAACAATAAACTTCAGGGGTCTATTCCAGCCGGAATCGGAGAGTTGTCTTCCTTGGAATTCGTGTGAGCTCTCTGGGACTGGGGCATGCTGGGGACACATGTTTTGTTTGGCGTAGGTGCTCTGGGTGAAGAAGAACAAAGGGCGTTGAAGCTGCGTGGTGGGGTTTGACTGTTGTGAATCCTCATGGCATCCTTTGATGTGTGCTCAATGCACTGCTGCGATGCAGCATCACACTGCAGTATGCACCCCAGGGTTGCCATCCCATCATCATCTCAGTGCTCTCGTGACTCACCATCGTCCACGGCGTGTGTGTACCTGGTGCCCTTCCTGCCATGCCTTGTGTGCTCGTCTCATCACACCCAACCGACTCACCCACCCACACAGGACGCTGTTCAACAATTCCCTCACGGGCTCCATTCCTTCCAGCATCACCGCGCTCACTGCACTCACAGAGCTGTAAGAGGCACATGGGGTCATGTGCACCAGACCTCTATGCGGTGCTGCAGATAGGTTGATGTGGTGCTGCAGATAGGTTCATGTGGTGGTGCAGATAGGTTTGTCTAGGTCATGTGCTCGTTCCAAGTAGGTTTTCACTGGCATTAATGAGCTCTGAGCTCTTGAATGGCAGCTTGTGGTAGCACCAGTGTGCTTTCCTGCCCACACGGGGTGCCAGCCAACCACTCTTGTGTTGCATGCCTTGCCATGTGCGCAGTACTGCTAGCACTCCTCCATTCATTGCACATGTGCTTCCATTTACTCTGCATGCTCACACCCTCTCCCCTCCCTGCGGTTTGCATACATTCACCACTCCTTGTTCCTCCCTGGTGCACCAACCAACCTACTGGGGGTACTCGTTGAGTTCACGATTTCATTCCTTCACTAAAACGGCATGACACAATCATATCCTTCCAATGTTATCACTCTACCTTTTGACGTGCGTACAGGCACATTATTATGCCCTCCATATTCTCTTGTTGTACAGGTACTTGAGTTTTAATCAACTTACGGGGCCTATTCCAGCTGGAATGGGACAGCTTTCTGCCTTGCAGCAAGTGTGAGCTATGGAAGAGGGGTTCTGATGCTGGGTGGGACACACGTTATTGTTGCTCGTTCAAGTGTTGGTAGGTGATGTGTAGTGAAGGAAGGGCATTGGCTTGGCACTGCTGAGGAGAAGAGCACAAATGTGGAAACACCGGATGCTGTGCAGTTGCCTGCATGGTTTGAGAATCTCGTTGCCAGAGGGAATTGCATCACCATGAATTGCAACCATGTCACCTTGCCCTCCTGCCCCATCCACCTCATTCTTCTCCTCACACCTCTCGATTCCCACCCCCTTCACTTGATCTGGGCCCTTCGTCTGCTAGGCTAGAGCCACTATGGACAACTAGGTTGATGACGATAGGGACAGTCGGTAATAAGACAAATCGCACCTCAAATTGAGGAATTTGGTCTGCCAGAGGTGCATCTTGGCCAGCGGGTCACACTCTGAAGCACATTACGCCGCGCCACTTCTCTTTGTTAGCCCAACGCAAGCGGCCCACAGTCAGTTCACGAGTCGTGTGCGTGTTTTCTGCCCCTCCTCCCTCATCATGCCTGACTCATGCACCCCATGCAGGAGTCTTAGGTACAACAATTTGGGCGGCTCCATTCCCGACAACGTCACCTCACTCACTGCACTCCACACGCTGTAAGAGGCACGTGTAAGATCACGTGCGGGAATGCGTGAAATAGATGGAAAATCCGCTTGCCTGAAGCCACTGATAGTAACCAATTAGGCATCGCACTGCTCTGCCAGTCATGCACGACAGCTGGTATTGTATAAATTTATCGTACGCTGGCCTTGTATGTACTGCGTGTTTGTGTTTGCTTGCTTTCAAAAAGTGTATCAATTGTAATTACAACTTTCAGCTGATATCAGAGCCTCAACTGATGCGAGATGTGTTTGAGGGTGTGGCCTAACATCAGGAGCCAGTAGACATGAGCAACGAGGCGAGGAATTCCTCGCCTTGGCATTCGGCTATTCGAGGATTCAAACTCGGCGAAATTCCTCGCTGAGGATTCCTCGCCTCGCCCCCTAAACCCGAGGGACGAGTTTTCCCCAAAATTCCTCGGCGCGGAATGCTCGCCTCGCCTCGTTTGGGGGGCGATGGTTGGAATTCCTCGGCGAGGAATTCTCGGCTCGCCTCGTGCTCATGTCTAGGAGCCAGGGAATGTATGTTTGAGTTGACTCTAAAACGCAGCTGGAGCTAGGGAAGGCGCAGCCATGCGCGCGCGTGGGGACACCTTAGCTCAGCAGTGGGGTCGGCAGGGGGCTGCCTTGATGGCTGCCCGATGGGTGAGAAGAAGTCCTGTGATGTGAACGTCAGTCAGGGTCATCTGGTTTGCTGATGAGTGCTTCGTGCCGACCTGACCTTTCAGATCGCTAGTGGTTTGTTTCCACTTAAAGAGGAAGAACAGCAGTTAGCTGAAGCGAGTCTAGGACCAAAAGTAGGCAAAAGGGTCCTGAAAAGGACCTGAGAACTCAAAGGTGGTTTCCCTTCGACAGAGGTGGGCATATAAGCTAGAACAGCTCAACGAGTTCTGAGCACTCCACATGTGTGCACATGCACTCTGCATCCTCACTCCTTCTCCCCTCTGCTATTTTCGTCCCGTGCCATTCCTCACTTCTCCCTGCTATGAAAATTCACAGATTGTATCTCATTAGAATTCCAACCATTTCTGTTTCAGTACAGCTCACACATCTGGCACTACCCAATGACATCCTTCGAGTACTAGCATCCCTTGCTTTAGCTTCGCTCTAGCTGTTCTGAACGAATCATGTCTTCCTATCACTCCCTGTGTGCAGGTATTTAGACAATAATAAACTCCAGGGGCCTATTCCAGCAGGAATTGGAGGGCTGAGTTCTTTGGAGTACCTGTAAGCTGTGTGGGATGGGATTGGCTGTAGCTGATGCCCGGGACACGTGTATTGTGCGGTGAGGTGCTGGTTGGTGATGCGTGTTAGAAATAGATTGCAATCCCACTTTTATATTTGTACTTTCATATCCAAGTTTACATAAGGAATGTTCTCGTGGGTTGGGATGTACTCACAATTCTCAACCTCACCCAATTGTGATCCCCTCAATATCCAATTATCCAGTTGGAGATTTTGGAGATCTTAATGAGGAATCTCTCGAATCCCCCCTTCATCCATCTTCCCTCACCTTGCCATGTACTTATAGAGCCTTGGGCTCCTTACCTAATCAAATCGATTCAGCTCAAGTTCTTACAATGTGTAGTTGAGGAAAGGTACTGGAACTGCTGAGGAGAGGTCAAGAATGTGGAGTGGAAGCGTCGGCTCTTCTTCTCATGCCTGCATGATTTGGTTTTCCTGGTGTGGCCTGCGGTCCAACCAACCGGTGCCGTCGTGGCTATCCAAAAAAAGGATGCACGCTTGGTTGCAGAACAGTGTAGTGCAAGTCATGCTCAATGACCGGATTAAGGGTGTCGGCAACAGATACCACCTCGGTCACAACCGGCTCACTGGGCCAGCTGGAGTGGCCAACCTCACGCCGGGCTCGAGCTTCTCTTCTCACTCGTCACTTCCGGGTCCTCTCTTGCTGTTGCCTCTTGGTTGGAGCCTGGGTATGGGCTTCTTGTCATACAGCGATGTCTGATTCCATGTGGTGCTGCGCTTGTCGCTACGTCACCAGGTCTTTTGCCAACAACAGTCTGTCTGGGCCCATTCCAGCATCTGCTGGCCGCCTAACCCACCTGCTGGAGTTGTAAGTCTCCAACGATGGCTGGAAATCCATGTTCTTGGAATTGGTTTAGGCCCATCCAACCCTTTTTTTTCCCATCAGACAGGGTTTGTGCAAATGTAAATATGCTCACACATAAGCTGTTTCTTTTTGTTTTAAATCCGTTTTGCGTACATCCTCCTTGGCATGAACTTTATGTAACGATAACCGCACACACCTGGATGGATCTGAAGCTCTAAGTTGACAGCTGTAGCATGTACAGGCTGTACGGGCATGATTTATCTAGTCCTCCCCCAGAGTCAGGTGGCCTTGTCACGCACATCTGTTCACACATACTTTATCCTATATCCTTCGAACCGCCCACTCCGCTGCAGCGACACCAATGGCACAAAACTCACCTGCCCTGCTGACAGCACCACCTGTGGCCAAACCCAGTCGTCCAGTTCACCCTTCTGCCACAAGTGTGCATCTTTCTGTGCCACATGCCAGCAATCACCAGGTGAATGGAGAACGCAATAGCTGCACCTGGCTGGTCCGTGGATCCTCCACGCTCTCCCCCTCCCCCTTCCCCCCCGCTCCTCTTTCGATGCATCTGTTGTTTTGATGGCCGGTGCGATTTCTTTGCTCCAAACCATGTGTGATGTCTTGACTTATTGGGAGTCCAACGTGTTGCTTTGTACTCTTGCAGAACCAGTTAACACCAGCAGCAGCAGCAGCAGCATCAGCAGCAGCAGTATCAGCAGCACCAGCAGCGGCACCCCAGCAGCATCTGAAGGTGGAGGTGGTCTCTCAGTGGGAGTCATCATTGGCATTGTTGTTGCTGCTGTGGTCAGTCTCCTCCTGCTTCTGGCTGCCATACTGCTCTGCTTCAGGCACAAGAGGCACCAGAAGCCAAACGGTAGGAGATGCTCCAGAGCTATTAGAGTCATGCACATTGCTGAGCAGAGTCGTCGCCGCACCATGTGCAACGCTTCTCAACGCTCCATGATCAGCTGTTGAAGCAAATAGCGCCATTCTTTCTCCATTGCTTTGTTTTTTTCACCCTTGTAAGTGTGTGCACGGTAAGAACAAGGGCCATAATTTAAGTTCACCTCTCGCCCCTCAACTGATGAGCAGGCCTGGCTGCCAGCCTAGCAGCCTCCCACTCCACGGAGTTCTCTCTGGCTGAGGTCCTCAAAGCCACCAACAACTGGTCGAAGGACAACTGCCTTGGCTCAGGTGCCTTTGGTGATGTCTACAAGGGCGTGTCTCCCCGCGATGGCACCACAGTGTGGGCTGTGAAGCGAGCCAAGCTGATCGACGCGGACTTTGAGCGGGAGGTGAGAGAGTAACCCCTGATGACGTGGGTAGTATGAAGCTCCATACTGTTTTGGAACCCGGCAACCGTGAGGCTTTTCCAATGTAAGCCCGTAAGTAGCAAATACACCAGCTTCAGAAATCTGTGCCTAAACTCTCTTCTTGATTGTTCCATGCTCCTTTTCTCCCCTTCCAGATCTTGCAAATGGCCGACAAAAGCCATCCCAACATTGTGCGGCTGCTTGGCTTTGCTGTTGGAGGGAACATCAGGTCACGGATAGAGCAAGTCTTGATCTATGAATTTGTGCCCAACGGTGACCTCCACACGTGGACCGATTCAAGTAAGTGTGACTCTCGTTTCATTTACTTTGTCCTATGTGGCCAACAGTGCTGTGGCGCTCTTGCTGTGTCACTGATAATGTGGCACTTTCGCCTCACACTCGTGATATGGCACTCATCTTGTGGCTCCTTGCAGAGGCGAATTCTTCTCTCGGTTTGAAGCAGCGGCTCGACATTCTCATTGGTATTGCACGCGGCTTTAAGTACCTCCATGGCTTCGGCCTTGTGCATCGTGACATCAAACCCGCCAACATCCTCATCACCAATGACATGCAGGCAAGCTTGATTTCACCAGGACACGGTAAAACCACATGATGAAGATGGAACATGAATGGGGATGGAGAAACTTGCATTTTCTAAGAGTCATGCCTTGCTTTATCTGTATACTTGGAAATTGATTTTCATGCCTAACTTGTTGGTTAATATGGCATATGGACAACAAAGAGGTTTTTTTGTGGCATGGTGTTACTCATAGGAGAAGTATAACGAGGACCATTTTATGCGTTATTCATAGTATTGTACTTGTGAATTTGCTTTTCCCATTCACTTCTCCCTTTTCTCTTGCTACACTGACCATACAAATCAACAGGCCAAAATCGCAGATTTCGGTCTTGTGAGGGCGGGAGAGGGCACCACAGTGGGCACTACCCGAGTCATGGGGACACCGGGCTATGTGGATCCAGTTTACTCCAGGACGTCCAAGGCAACCACCGCCACCGATGTCTACAGGTGACAGGTCAAGGAGCCGCCTCCTTTGGTTACAATTCCAATACCGTTTAACCCAGCCAGTTCAGCGGTTTGCAGTTCCAGCATGATATCAGAGCAGTCTGAGGTGCTATTCCCAGTGCAAGCCGCTCTGAGCTGTCCCTATTCATTGACTTCAAGAGTGGAGGAGTGTTGCTTTGTAAGGTTTGTGGAATGAATCCCAGAGATCCTGGAGGATTCACAGTCTCCATTCTGATGGGGTTGTGAGTTTGCTATTAGTTTAATACGCCTGACCCAACCAGCCAGCGGACTGGGCTTCTAATAGCTTCAAATGAGCAGATACGTTAAATGCTTTGAGGTAAGCTAGAGAGGAGTTTTGAACGTCTTCACCATCTTGTGGCTCTCACATCCCTCCTTTTCTGCAGCTTTGGTGTGCTCATGCTTGTGGTGCTCACTGGACGCCCTCCACTCTCCCAAGTTGCTTTGGAGAGCATTCACATCGTAACTTTTGTAAGCTTCATGTTCACGTAACACGGTGAAACGGCCAGAGCTTGATGCCTGGTTTTTGTTGCAAATACCTTTTTTGCATTGACAACCGACAGTGGTCAGACTTATGTCATGGTCTCCCAATACTTCATTTTAAATCCAACCTGTTTACTTCCGGACCTCTTGCACTTCTCCAGGCATCCGAATGTCTGGCCTCCGGCTCTGCAGCGAGCCTCAAGGACCCCAGCATGGACGCCCCTGGGGATGCTGTGCTGCGCGTGGCTCAGCTGGCAGTCAGCTGCACTGTGGAGCGCACTGCAAGCCGTCCAACCATGGCTCACGTTGCTAACGAGCTGCAGGCCATCCGGGAGGAGGTGGTGCGGAGGGAGGAGCTAAGTGCTGCCGTTAAGGTGGATGCGCAGGTGCAGGAGATGAAGAGCTTCACAGCAAGCGGACAGAGCCTGGAAACTGATCTAGAAACCCTCCTAACAGAATGTCAGGTGTGAATCAGGTTACCTGCGGACGAAGAGTTCCAGTGCAGCTGATGTCTTGCTGCAGGAGGACCCGTTACATGCAAACTAGCAATCAGAGTATTCAGGAGGTGTAGTTATGAGGATTCAGAATTGCTTTCTGCTGTGTTCTGGAGTTAAGAACACCAAGTCTGACTTCCTAGTCAGCTGGCTGTTCTTTATCTGCTGACCGTAGTGGTGATGCATGCCTGGAAACGCTTGCTGCACAATTGGAAACTGTGCCAGCAAGAGAAGGGGGGTTGTTACACGGTGCCAGCATGAGAATGGGGTTGTTACTGTCAGATTATGAGAGAAAAGTTGGACTAGGAAGAGGGGAGGGGAGGTAGAGATACAATGTGTTGTCCCCTCTAAGAGTTGACCTAGCTAGGTTATAACAAACATACCTAACCTAATTGCATTTACCGTAAATATGTGTTTGTTGACACCCCCTAGCCTAGGTACAAGCAGTTTACCCCTAGCCAAGGCAGAACTACTAGTCTGACCTCTGGTGAAGGTAACAAGACAACTCAGGGCACCAGTACAGGTCTGGCCACTGAGACAAGAGGCCTTGTGGCTAGTCAGCAAGTGTAGCAAGACATGCAGGAATAGAACAGCAAGTACAAGCAGGAATAGTATATATCAGGATACAAGGAGCAGAGCTGCTACTAAGATTAGACCAAGCTGAGTGCAGAACTGCTGATGGTTACGAGGCGGTAGTGCCTTGGTGAAGATAGCAGCAGTGTTGGCCTCTGAGGCCAACTGTACTACAGGAGCCTAACCGCGCTGCTGGAACTCACGCAGCAGGAAGTACCGCAACTGGATGTGCTTCGCCCTGCCCTCAATTCGAGCCTCCTGACATAGGAGGATCATGACCCTGTTGTAAGAAGACAGGACCAGGGCAGACCTAGGCTGCTCACCTAAGTCGGTGAGCAAGAACGTCAGCCAGCGGAGCTCCTGAGCGGCCATGGCCCCAACGTAGATCTCTGCCTCACAACTGGACCGAGCTACAGACGACGACCTAGTGGACCTCCACGAGACTGCACTAGAACCAAGACTAAAACAGTAGCCCTGTGAGGACCTAAGCGTTTCCAAGTCGTCAACCCATGACGCGTCTGTGTGTCCAATGAGCACCACTGGCTCCCGTCCTCCTAGTACAAGCTCCAGTCCTGATGTACTTGCCAGATACCGCAACAGCCTCTTGGCAGCCGACCACTGGACTGATCGGTGCCTGCCTATTGCAACAAAGCGAGTCAGGAGACTGAGAGGGTACGCTAGATCTGTCCGAGTGCACGTCATCAGGTACATAAGGCACCCCACCAGCTCTGCGTATGGACCACTGGACTCGGCCGGCTCAGCCGGAACAGAAGCAGAGAGCTCGTAATCCACAGCCAGAGGGGTGGGCTGTGCTGAGGAGAACTTGAGACTGAACCTCTGGAGGATCTGCTGCACCATATGGGACTGAGAGAGTGTGATTGTGCGAGCGACACGGCCACGAGAGATCTCCAAGCCCAGATAGCGCCTCAGCTCCCCTAGGTCCATATAGGTGCGCCTCCTAAACAACCCTAGGCTGCATGAACGAACATGGTTAGTGAACGAACAGCTGTAAGAGAGAAGCGCACTCACTGCTGTTACCACCACTTCTCCTCTCGCCTCCAAATTGCGCTACCAAACTAAGGAAGAGCCCTGAGAGCATTGGATGCCACATCACTCCTTGGGCTTGTGGGGAGGCAGTTCTGTTATGTGTGTGGGAAAGTCGAAGCCATTGTTGCTACCCTCACTCTAGTCACTTCTTGGGCTGCTCTCTCAACCATGGTCTCATTTGTGTTGTTTCGCCCTCGTGAAGCCATTGGACCTCCGTACTCTCCACAACGCTCTCACATTCATGCTTAACACTGCTGCTGCCCATCCTCCTGATTCTACTGCTCTTTGTCCTCTCGGGCTCCCATACCAGAGGCCAAGGGGGAACGGGTCTCGGATGGGAGATACTGACCTTGCGAGATGATGACCTGCCATGCCCCATGCCACCGCCCTTCAGTGGTGGTTCCAATGGTTACCACTGTAACTACTTCTGCCATTCATTGTATCCCGATTGTCCGCCTTTGCCACAACACTTTCACCACCTGTACTACGGGCAGCAGCAGTTGCCGGGCCACTGATAGCCAGCCACACACAATGGGGGGAAGGGTAGTGGGAGAGCAGAATATGACAAAGAGGGTCTGAGGGGGTCTGAGAGGATAGCAGCAGCCAACTTGGCTGTGCCAATGTTGCATTATCATCCACGCCTTTGACTCCACATGTCAGTAGCTGCGGAGTGCATGTGTTTTTTTTTTATGGGCTAATGTGTGCGCCCCATCAGACACGCGACGCGCGATGTGGGCTAATCTCGGTGTTTTGTGTTGGATTTAGATTTCAAACTCGTTTTTTATAGTCTGATTATGATATCTATTTATAGGAGTGTGCCCTAGAGGTTGATGATCCTCAAACGTAAAACCAGCCTGCTCATGTAGTTACCCCATTCTTCATGTTACTTGGTGCATACACTACATGATTATGTCAAAGTGTACATTTCTCAAGAAAGAAATGAGCATGCTCTTATGTGCCTGAGCTCCATATGTACCCAAGCTGAGCTCAACGAGGTCTGCAACGTCAGTGGTTTTCGCGCGAACACTTATAGGCATTGTCCGCACGGTGCCAATGCCGCGTGCCAATGCCTGTCCTCGTTCAACCTCACTCGTGGTTTGCATGTGTTCGTGTTGTTTCCTCAACCAAGAAGCGGGAACTTTCTCTGCCAGAAATATATACAAGTTTTATCCTTCTCTGCCAAGCTTTGCAATCTTACTCAGGTTTTTAGGGGTTGGGTAAGCATAGCTGCACAATTGCAGTTTTCTGCAATCACACCAGCATGCGTGTAACCCACCATCCTTAACTTTATACAATATACAGGCATCACGCTTGACACGTAGCTTCAACCACAAGCGACCCATTCCTGCTTGATGTTTTGGTGATGCGGTGTGACAATGGGGATATTAGCTTAAAAATATGCACAATTGTAGAAGCAGAAGACAATATAAAATGACGACGAAGATGAAGAAGAAGAAGTAGAAGAAGAAGAAGAAGAAGAAGAAGAAGAAGAAGAAGAAGAAGAAGAAGAAGAAGAAGAAGAAGAAGAAGAAGAAGAAGAAGAAGAAGAAGAAGAAGAAGAAGAAGAAGAAGAAGAAGAAGAAGAAGAAGAAGAAGAAGAAGAAGAAGAAGAAGAAGAAGAAGAAGAAGAAGAAGAAGAAGAAGATGAAGAAGAAGAAGAAGAAGGTGAGGCCGATGTGGGGAGTCGAAATGAAATCGTGGAGAGCTTGCTGTAGATCTAGGAGGTTCTCCCCCTCAGGTCGCCGAGAGTACAGGGCGAGCTGGCTGGCGATGTAGGATAGGTTGGGTCGGCACGTGACATCGGCGAACAGTAGGTATCCGAGCTACTGCTAGTAGAGTTGGTGAGCAGCAAGAGCAAAAGTCTTGGTGTCAGGCTTGTAGCCGGCAGCGGGAGTGCGATAGGGTGTGGAGAGCGACGCTAGTATTAGGTTGAATTTCTTCACGAGAGTCTCGGCATACTTCGATGCGGAGAGGTGGATGGTTTCTGGCGTGTAGGAGATGTTGAGCGTGAGGAATTTAGTCACGGTCTTGGAGGTAGTAATGTCGACGCGCTGGCCCAGGCTGCGTTTGAACTGATCGAGCAGGTCAAGGTTGATGCCAATGTAGAGCAGGTCGCCGACGTAGACCGTGAGGAGGATATAGTCCCCGCGGAAGTGGAGGCGATGCATCCCGGGGTCGTGAGGTAGTAAGAGGAACCCGATCGCCAGCAGAATCTTGTGGAGATGCTGCTGCCAGAGATGGGGTGCCTGCTTAATCTTATAGAGGAACTCTTGCAGCTGGCAGACGCATGAGTCCCCCTCGCCGTAGGTGTGAGGTTGCTCTATGAAGACTAGAGCATCAACCTTTGCATATAGGAATGCATTATTGACGTCGATCTGTCGGAGCTCGAGATGCCGGCGTGCTGCGATTGCGAGCAAGATGCGCACGGATCTGTGACGACTAACAAGTGCGAAGGCGAGGTCGAAGTCAATGCCGGGGCGTTGGTCGTGGCCTCGAACGACCCATTGGGCCTTGCACCGCTCGACATTCCCTTGGGCGTCCGTTTTGATGTGGTAGACCCATTTGCCGGATAGTATCTTCCTCCCTTTTACTGCTGCACAGTCGACTAGGACCCAGGTGTCGCGTGCGCGTAATGCGGCGATTTCCGTGTCCATAGCTTTACGCCATTCGGCGCGGTGTGGTCCGGTGAGAGCCTGTCGTGGTGTCTTAGGCTCGATGATGAAGGGGCTTTTGTGGACTGCTGCATGAAGCCCGAGGATGTGGAGACAGGAGTAATGGAGGTTGCAGTGCCCGTCATCAATGACCTCTTGCACGTTGTCGTCAGAGTCGGCGGCGTTGTTGGAGTCCGCGAGGGTACCGATAGTGCCGCCGCGTTGCAAAGTGTCACGTCAGGGGTCGAGAGGGGCATCCTCTGCGTCGTTGTCATCATCGAAGTGAGGGTTTTCTCCCGGGTGTTCGTCAGGTGGGTCCAGGTCCAGGCGTGCAGCTGCGATTTAGTTTTCCGGAGAGGCGAAGCTGCGCTCTCCTTGGGTATAAGCTGCTTGTCGATTGGCGTGGCGATCGTCCTGGAACTGCTTTAGGGTGAGTCCTTCATAGAAGAGGACGTCCCTGGAGGACACGATGGTGGAGTTCTCCAGGACCAGGATTGTCCATGCCTGGTATTCGTATGAGATGCCCAGGTGCACTCCCCAGCGAGCTCGCCTTTCGTACTTACCGGTAGTGGCTTGATGAGGGTGGTACTTGACCATCCAGCCCCAGACTCGCAGCATGGTGGTGTCAGTTGGCTTCCCTATCTAGGTCATGTAGGGGGAGAGGTTCCCATCATTGGTGGTGGTGGACAGTATGTTGTGCAGCTGGACAGTGTGGTACATTGCGTACGCCCAGTAGTCTGTGGGCAGTCTGGACTGGAGCATCATGGCCCGTACTTCGGTCTGTAGAGTTCGGTTGGTCCGTTCAGCGATACCTTGCTGTGGGTAAGCATAGGGAAGGGAGAGCCTATGCTCAGACCCGAGTTCCTAGAGGTGGGTCTATAGCTTCTCGCTCCGTTATTCTTGAGTTGTGCAGGTGCGCGGGGCTTGTCTTTCTTGAAACTCATGCCCGTCAGAGTCTAGGAGTGCTCCAGGGGCGAAGATGTTGGCCCTGAGCGAGTTGTTGAGGGTAACTCTGGAGGGGTGGCCAAGCCGCTATGCCAGATGTCCCTGGAGGCGCAATGGCCTCCAGCGCACTGATAGCGCTGGCGAGAATCATCGGGAGGAGAAGCTGGAGGTGTGTCTGTGAGCGCGAGGGCTGTGATGGCGAGAGCAAGGAACTCGCGGTCTATGAGGTCCGCTATGACCTCTCTGTCTCGAGGAGAACCATTTGGTTTAGCTGCACTCTCGTTTAGCTCCTCAGGAACTGTTCTCGGGCGAGGGAGGCGAGGCGGTGGTGGACCTTTGATGGTTCTGGTCTCTTGGAGATCAGCTTCAGTATTGGGTCCAACTGGAGTTGGTGTCAGTGGAAGAGGGCTGTGAGGTCCGGGCGGTGGAGAGCCATAGTAGCGTCTCCAGAGGAGAGTGTTTTCCTGTCAGGGATTTCATCGTACTCGGCCCAAGTTCCAAGGGCTTGAGGAGGGCGACCAAGGTGAAGATACGCGTCTTGGGCGATTCTCCCCCTTTCGCCTCCATGTCCTCATCGTCTCCTCCACCGTACCATTCCTCGTGGTTGAGACGCCAATGTCCTAGAGCATGGTTGCAGAACCACGGAAGCCTCGGGCCCCTGCCCCATTCTTCAGCGGTCGGTGCATTAGGCTAGGGTTGCTGGGGGGGCTGGTAGTATTGTCCTAGTCAGTTTCTTCCACTGATACTCCTCCCCCGGTGCCTCTGCTTGGAGAGGGACCCCAGTGCCCGAAAGGGCGGTGCACCAATCTCGACTCTGCGTTCGAGGAGTGGGGGTTCTGGTTCTACTGCCGCTATTTACTCTGCTACTCCCTCTGCTGCTTCTGCTGCTGCTGCTGTTGCCTCTGCTGCTGCTGCTGCTGCTGCTGCTGCCTCTGCTTCCCGTGCTGCTGATGCGGCGACCATGGTTGCTTCTGGGGACGTTGGTCCATGTCGGGCAGCGATGGTTCTGAGAGAGCTTGCCCACACATCGGATGCTAGTTTGGTGGCCATGTCCGCTGCTTCCTGTGGCATAGGCTCTCTCCATTTAGGGTTGAATGCCATGTGAGTGTTGAGCTCCCATGGGGTTGGTCGTCCGGTTTCATCAAGGGAGCCTGGTTCCTCATAGGCCAAAACGCTTTGCAAGCATTGTGTTGAGTTGGGGGAAGGGTCCATGGTTCCTCGAGGAGGAATGATAGTGACGGCTGCAGCAAGTTCTGAGGTTGTCCTACCAACCTCTGGAGTGAGGAGGGACTCCATCTCCTCTTCCTCGAGAGTTTCTAGTCCTGTTCTAGCGATGTTGCTGGAGGAGGCTCTCGGAGTTCGACAGGTACGGCAGATGCCGTCTGGTCCAGGGTCGTGCAGATCCGTCTCAGATGGGTGCATGTGGTGGGTGACCCACGGGTGGCCATCGGGGCATTTCCACTCCTTCTCTTCTTGCCTGGCGTAGGCGAGGGGGACGAGGTCGATCAGCTCATGGCTGTCTCCATTGCAGTTGGAGATGTCGAAGTTTAGGACATAGAATCCGTTGACTGCTGCTGCCCTGCCGATGTATCGTAGTGGGTTTGGCTCTTCATTGGGCTGATGTGGCTTGCAGTAGTGTATTAGGAGGTCTCGTGTCTGAGGGTCGGTGCTGATCTCAACACCGCAAGACATCAGGTGGGCCATTGAAAGTAAGTTGTAGCGCAGGTTCTGAACAATGAGCACGTCATCCAGAGTGATGTGCGTCAGGGTGTTGTGGGCCTGGAGGACGATGATCCCCTGGTGCTTAGCCACCAGCCGTTCGTTGTTGACTACAGTGACGAAAGCTGCAGGGGGGGTGGGGACGACATTGGAGATGAAGCATGCAGAGCCAACCATATGCTGTCCGCAGCAACGGTCTAGGTACAAGGTGTTTAGTTATCACGGTTGTTGCAAGCGATCATCGCGATCCTCGGAGTTAGCAGGTAGGGCTTGTTTGACTTGTGCATGAGATGGTCCCTTAGGAAGTCGTCCTAGCCTTGTCCGTCGCCTCTGAATTTCGTGTCAGTAATGTAAGGTGTCAGCTCTAGCAGGGGAATGGGAAGGTTCCATTCCAGCTCCTTTTCATCGATCTCGTAGCTGCCGCGCTCATTGTAGGGGTTGTTGTGGCTCTGGGTCGATATAGCCGGTTCGAAGTCTCCTTGACTTGAGCGTGGTTGTGGCGCATAACGGCGTCGATTTGATCGACGAGTGGGACCCCGAGCTCTCATCACCATGAAGACCTTCTTAGAGTAATGAATTCAAATAAACAAGAGCATACATGGGTTCTTATGCTTGGGTGTTGTACCCTATAAGAGCATGCACCAATCTAGCCTATAACAATATATATATATATGAGTTGACACACCACCTAGGCTAGACAAGGGGCAGTGCCTAGCAAAGGACATGTAGCTCAGGGTGGCACTACTAGTCCAGCCAGTGGAACACGAGTCACAAGGCCAGTCAAGATAATATAAAGATTCGTACACAATCAGGGTCCTAGCAAGTGGGGAGCTACTTGAACTAGACCAAGTTGTACACAGTGTCGCAGATGATCTTTAGGCGGAAGCGCCTTAGTAAAGATATCGATTGTATTGGCACTGGAGGCCAAGTGTACTACGCGGGCTTGGTGGCGCTTCTATAGCTCGCGCAGGAGGAAGTACTGCAGCTGGATGTGCCTCGCTCTGCCCTCGAGTAGAGGCTCCTGACACAGGAGGATCATGGCCTTGTTGTGAGCGCACAAGATCGGGGCAGAGCTAGGCCGCTCACCTAAGTCTGTGAGCAGGAAGGTCACCCAGCAGAGCTCCTGTGCCGCCATGGCACCAGCGTAGATCTTAACCTCACAGCTAGACTGTGCAACAGACAACGAGCGTGTGGACCTCCACGAGATGGCGCCTACACCAAGGCTTAAGCAATAGCCCTGGGAGGACTTGAGCGTCTTATCGTCGTCCGCCCACGAGGGTTGATGCATTTTTTTTTTGCATTGGGCGGATGGGGCATGCCACAATGTTCCACGAGGCTTTGTAGTACACCTTGACATTGTGGCGGGCTCGTCCAAAGGATTCAAAGAGGCCCACCACACCTAGTGTCCCTTGTCCCAAGA